CCCCATCCCTCTCCTTATAACAGGAGAGAGGTCACCCCCACAACCCACCCCACACCCCCATGGGGACCACCTGCCCCGCAGCAGGAGGACAGAGGTGGGGCGACCACGCCATTCCTTTCCCCCCCCTCCCCACCACCACCCCCCTGAACATGGGGCAGCCCCCCCATAACGAGCTGCCTCAGAGGCAGGGTAGGGACATCTTAAATAGGTCCCCTACACCGCCACAGAAAGGGGGTGCTGGGGTGGGGGGGGGGGTGGGTGTGCAGCTCAGTCCAGGGGGATATAGTGCCAGCTCGCAAGCAGCAACAGCACCCCAAGTCCCAGCGGTGCCAGGGGGGCAGGGGCACGACTGCGGGGGCCAGCGGGCACCTGGCAGCTGCCTCCCTGCCAGCCCTGGTAGCAGTGGCAGCGGAAATGGGTCCGTAGGAAGAGGGTGTCAGCAGAGGACAGCTGGCCCTCGGCCCAGAAGAGGGGCTGCTGGGGGTGCTCCCGGCGCCGCAGCTGGAAGCTGGTGGAGTTGAGGTGGAGGAAGACGTCGGCGGTGCTGTCCTGGCGCAGGCAGCGGCCCCGGCCCTGGCACAGCGCCGTGCTGCAGAGCTGCGCCGCTGTCGTGACATTCGCGATGTAGCGGCCCAGGTCCTCCTCCAGGTAGTCCTTGAGGATCTGGCATGAGTCCTGCAGGAAGGGAAGGAAATCAGGGGTGTTGTTGGGGTGCCCCTGGGAGAGAAGGACCCCAGCCCAGATGGAGAGGGCACTCCAGCCTTGAACCACTCGGGGGCCAGGTGACACCTCACCCATCATCCACCTCCCCAGTGGCACACTGACCCCAAACCTACCCGGTTTTTGGTGAAGTCTGCGTCGCCCCAGAAAATGGCCCCGGCTGCACCCAGCGCTGCACTCTCTCCGATGGTGGAGATCAGGTCCGCCTGTGGGGACAGAGCCCAGTTAGTGCCCACAGACCCCATACAGCACCCACACCCCCCAGCTCAGCGACCCCAAAGAGACCAATGCAGGGTCAGGGAGGCAAGACCCACTCCTGTTCCAGGCCACAAGGAGAGGGGACTGTCCCAGCTCCTTGGGGATGGGGCTTCCCATCACCACCCTCCTCCTCAGAGCCTGAGCCAGCACAGCATGGGGGCTGTGGGCTCACACAACCCTGGGTCCCAGCTGGTAAGACCCAGGAGTCCTGCAGCACCTTCCTGGTGATGGTGACCATTGGGTGCCAGACACCTTGCCCATTAGGATGGGCGATTTGTGGCACCCCATTGTCCGACCCATGGAGGGGTTGAGCCGGGAGACCCCATGCCACGGCTTCCCCCTTGAATGGGGGCAGGCTGCTCCCCACCCAATACAGGGACAGCCAAACCATGGGGCGCCGGTGACACCACGAGAGCAGCCACCAGCCTCCAGAGCCATCCCACTCTGTGGACTGGGACTAGACAAGGGCAGAGGGACCACCTTGGCTGACCCCAGAGCCCAGATGCCCAGAGCTTGGAACGAGGACATCCCAGTGGTGCAGCCCTACCTGGCTGAGGACGTCCAGCTTGCGGATGTAGGTGGGCCTGGTGTAGACGAAGACGGGCAGGGAGTAGCCATCATGGTGCTGCTGCGAGATGCGCATGGCCTCCATAACCCGTGCCCGCACGAACTTGCGGCTGTTGGGAGTGGATGCTAGGAGCGTATCGAGGTAGATGGAGGGGTAGAGGGCTGTGCTCTCCCTCCAGAGCCACGCCAGCTGGTCGTTGCGTGTCTTCTCCACGTCCGGGCACTGCCCGGTGTAGCTCTCCTTGTTCTTGCTGTAGTCGTGGTTGTAGCAGTCAGGGAAGAGGTAGAACCCCCAGACCTGCTTGGGGCGGAAGCTCTTGGCCACGCGCAGGGTCCTCACCATGAACTCTCGGGCGGCCGACTCGAACTCGAACACTGCCTGCTTGTTCACCTCCTCGCGGGACCAGTTGTGCTGCCGCTGGGCCTCCACCCGCTGGGCCACCAGCTGCTGGGACACGTCCCGGTAGATGTCCTTGGGCTTCCAGTTGCGAGCCCAGATGGGCCGCCACTCCTCCCAGTCGATGACGGCCAGCCCCTCCTTGGCGGGCGAGCGGATGTACTTGCCGATGCCATCGTGGAGGCGGGCGAGGTGCTCGGACAGGCTGCTGTTTTGGGGGACGCCGCCGTTGACGGGGACGCGCTGGCTGGTGTAGTAGGGGTAGAGCCCCAGGCGCTCCTTGTAGAAGATGGTGAGGTTCTGCCCCACGAAGCCCTCGTTGGGGGAGGCGTGCAGGTCGAAGAGGCTGAAATCCAGGGATACCTGGAAGCGGGGCTTGCAGTCCTGGGTGGGCACGTTCCAGGCCACCAAGAAAGGCCGGCGGGTGAGCAAAGGGGGGGCCGACGGCTTCTCGGGGGGCTGCCGGGCCAGGGCCAGCAGGGCCAGCCAGGGCACGGCCACCAGGGCCACCGCGCAGCCCCCGCGCATCCTGCCCAAGGTGGGGGGGGGAGCTGGAAGCAGAGGGGAGAGAAGAGGGTCAGGAGCGGGGGCGGAGGAACCGGGGGACGGGACACACACGCTCTGCCCCCCTCCTCCAAGCCCCTTCCCCGCAACTCCCGGGATATCCCGCTCCCGAGCGGCTCCGCCCGCTCCCGGTCCGGCTCCCTCCCGCCGCCTTTGTCCCACACCGGCACACAAAGCGCCGGGGCGCGGCGCCTCTCTCCCCCCCTGCTCCTTCCCGCTCCCCCCCCCTTCCTCCTCTCTCCT